TTCATAGAATTTTAGACTTGCAGAGGGAGATTTTACAGATTAAAATTTTCAGGCACAAAATGAAGCTAAATGGCTTTCCCAGGCCACCCAGCTAGAATCTGGTGACTGGATATAAAAATATTCACTTAAAAAAAAAAACAGTTCTAAAAAAAAAACAAAGATGTGGGGCAGAATATCATTAACCGGTAGCCTAGCCAGAGGAGGTCACAGATCTGCCAACTTACTTCCAATCCACTAGAGATTCTACAGCACCATCCTCTGGCCAGTCCACCTGTTTTTCTTCTTTCCTGTTTATTCTCAGGATTGCAGGTGGTATGAGGTTAAGAGAACTAAGACAGTGTTCTCAATCTTCATTGCATAAAAAACACCTGTGGATCTTTAAAAAGAAACCGGGACCTTACAACCCAGAGTAGATCTACTTGGTTTGGGGTAGGTCAATGTTCCTAAACAAATGGCATCAGAACTACCTGGAGGGCTTATTAAAACAGATAGTTGGGCCCCACCCTTGCCGTTTCTGATTTTTTTTTAGGTCTGGGATGGTACCCAACCATCTGCATGTTCTAACAAATCCCCATGTTACATTGGTGCTGCTGGTCTGTGGCCCACACTTTGAGAACTACTGAGGTAGAGCATTAGGTAATTTTAAAAAGTTCTTCAGGATAGTAATCTTCAGCCAGTTGAAAATCACTGGTCTAAAACAGTCATTCTCAGCCTTTTCTAGAATCGCTTGGGGAAATGAAAAAAAAAGCAAAAACTGATACTTGAGTCCCGACTCCAGTGATTCTCTTTTAATTGCTCTTGGGTGCAGTCTGAGCCCTGGGATTTTTTTTAAAGCAACATATTATTTAAATAAATCATATCCCAGGTGATTCTAATGTCCAGCCAAGACCAAATCATTGAAAATTTTCTGCCTTCTCAATTCCTATTACCATTTACCTCAAATTTCCCCAAGAGAATTGGATACTTTTTATCACTATAACATATTAGAAATTCCTTTCTAACTTGCTGTCTGTGAACAATGGTTTCTTTCCACTTTGATGTTTTAATACTAGCTACTATTCATTGAATACTTAGGATGTTGTGGCCTAGCAGTGTGATTCGCCTCTTTTCCAGTTTTTTTGGTTGTTTTGTTTTTGCTTATTGAATAGTTATCCTTTAAATAATCTTTCCTCAAAAAGAGACCCTGCATCTTCTAGAATCAACGTTATCTTCTAACTTGTGGTTAATGTATATCACGTTTTATTCTCTTTCTACTGGTTAGAAGCTCAAGCCACAGAGCAGGGAGGGTAAGGGAGAGGGAAAAGAGGGAGAAACATACATTATGGAAAAAAATAAAACTATTCTTCCGATCTGCTGAAACACATTACATTAGTACTTGAATCTCTGTGAATCTTGGTGGGTGTTCTCCAGAAATGGACAAAGATTCAGAGTTTCCAAGAGGAAAATTCCAAGAAAAACTATGACTCCATCCTAAAGCAGCTGATTTTCCTTTTGCTCTTGATTAATGTATTTCTTCCATTTCCAACTACAAAAAATCCACTGATTTACCCGAATCCCAAGTTACTTGGAACATATGAAAATACCATTAAGCACAATGACATGAGTTGTTTCAGGTAAAGGGCTTTTAGTTAAGGAGATTTAAAAACTATATGTTCAATTATTTTTACCTGTATCGCAGTTTTGGTAAATGCTTCTTTTCAGGGCCCTGTGGCTCGCTTTCCACAAGATGGCACTGTTGTTTACTGTTAGACAACCCTGCTCGTGAGGAATGGCATTCTCAAAGCTAAGAACGCATCCCTAGGACTGTAGTTCCTGAAATACCATTTGTTTCAAGCTTCACAAGATCTGAGAGCCATCAGGAATATATCTTTAATTTTTAGATCTGTGGCTTAGCAAGGTGTTTAATAAACGGTACTTGATAAATGTCTACTAGATGAATGAATGTGTGTACATGTGTATCAGCTTCACATAAGCCAAATGCCAGTGGCAACTAAGGCTCATGTAATTCTAAGAGAGAAGGAAGCAAGAGCCATCATAACATCTTCCTTTGTGGTCGAAGATTTCTTCAATACTGCATTTTTCTTTTCCCTACTTTCTTACAGATTTTAACAAGAACACAATTTAACCTAATGACGCCTTATCACCCATGTCTTCACCCAGACATTTTCCTCCTTAAAATGGGCAAAGCAGCTATTCTGATCCTACCATAAAACATAAAATTAGTTATAACAAAAACATGACAAGAAGAGTATCAATTAATAAAAGATAGTCCATGCAAATAATACATGTTACCAGAAAAATTCCTGGGCAGTCTTTCAAGTCTGATAAGCACATTATGGAAAAGGACCTCATTGGGAAAAGCAGCAGGTGAGAAAGTTCCACAATGAGGTCAGAGATCTGAGTTCAACATGAGCTAAAGCAATGACCTCCCCCAGGTCACTTTACCTCTCTGCTTTAGTTTCCTCACCCTCAACAAAGAGGGGGTACTAGGGAGGGGTCTCCAGGGACGCTTCTAGCTCTGACACAATATGCCTCTCTATATCGTTTCCTAACATTATGGCCTACACAATCATAGTGTAAACACTTAAGGGCCAAGCAGAGAATTCTATATGTTTGCTTTGAAAGGAAAGAAAGGAAAGAATTGATTTCAAACAATTGTAAAGTGCCAGGGTTTTTGTTTTGTTCGTTTTGGCATCGAATATAAATATCCCTCTGTATTAGCCACTGCTTCTGTTTTCATATAGCATCAATTTTCTGAGCAATACAGATTTACAGTGTATTATGTTTTAAAATGTTGTATGAAGCCAGTTTGGGTAACATTTTGGTTTTTAGGCACAGGACTTGAATTACCAAGTTACAAAGCTTTGTTTGTAATGGTAGTAAGTTTTTCAGGAACCTGTTTCACATTATAGACTGCTACAAAACTATGATAAAATTCTTGTGAAACCACCAAATAGGGTCTAAACAAAATTGATTTAATCTATTCACCAGTCTTGGAGATAAACAAGCATCACTATGATTAAATTGATACCAATTAACCACCGTAATCAACATAATTGAAAAAGACTGGCTCAGTTAGGGCCAGGTCCTTGGGCTACCTGAACCTTTACCCGATAAAATTGTTAAGAATTAACTAGGTGACACCTAAAGGAGAACCAAAAATTCAGAAATTATAAAAACATACCATAAATCAAAATAAGTATCTATTAAACAACTTTGTTCTGAGCTAAATTTTGGTTATTTGGTTAATAATTTCAAAGAACTAGTAAATACCCAATCCACATCTCCTAATGGTCATAAAGAGAGTTTTAAAAATCTGATTTTAGTATGACGAGATCACTTATCTATGCCTTATCCCCAAACAATAATATCCAAACACCGAAGCAAAAGAATCAGTTATCAATCTATCTATTGGCTACCAACAACATAACTTTAGTGCTTTCAAGAGTCAGGCCATTTTTATCCTTATTTTAAACAGCGAAACTAAAACTTCTGTTATCAGAAGGAGCAATCTGCTCCTAGGGTCTGCCTGATTCCAAGCACCTGCTTTCTCTGGTCTGGAGGCAGATGGTATATCATAAAAATAAAAGCCATGGGAAAAATGTACAGAAAGATATTCCCTTCAAAACCCTTTAG